GAAAAATTTTAAATCCCGTCTTGTTTTTATACAGGGAATTTAGTAATGCTGAGGTCATCGTAATGTTGCTTAAGATCTGATATTGTAGTTAACGACAGTTATGTTGTTGTTGGCTCTGAGAAGTGCCTTTGATTGTTCTGCTGTGTAGTAATTACAGTTACTGTTTGATTCATTTAAGTCATTCAATAAGAGGTTGGTATCAGGATCAATGCTTGTTATCATATGTATAGTTAGAATTAAGTATAAGACAAAGTAAATATTCTAAAGCTATAAAATAGCACCTGAATTATTTTAACAAATGTAAAAATTTGAGCTAAGGTAGTTCTTTAAAGCTAAAATAAAGGAGACAATATAAAGGGACTAAAAAAATTTGTGGTGAACAAATAAAGTGGTAATCAAATAAATGAGCTAGGGAATATAATGGCAAAATAGTGAACTTATTACACTTTAGCACCTGAGAATAGCACCTTGATTATTTTAACAATTGTGAATACAGGAAGGCCCCGCTTTACGGCGTTTCACTTTACGGCGTTCCGCTAATACGGTCATTTCAAATTATGACCAAAACTCACTATATGGCTCCCCCCACCTGACTTTCTAATACGGTCACCGCGCCCCACCTTGTTTGTTTACATTCTTCGTGAGCTCAGTAAGCACTAAGTCTCTCCATTTTGTCTGGAAACTCCAAAATTTCAAATGTTTTTAAAAGTTATTTCATATTTTATATATACTCTGATAATTATACTTATGTATACCTGTAATTAAATAAACTTACATACTGTGCTGGCATGCAGGTACACATTAAAATCAGTAAGAGTGTCTTATGTCTCCAGACGTCATATTAGTAATGATAATAATAATCATCGTCTCATTTAAATGTCGTATATTACGTTAAATACACATTTTCATTAATCCATCTATGATATTTTTTCAAAATTATATAATAAACACGATACATAACATAAAAAGATGTTAAATAGAATAAATAAACATAAATATGAGATGTGGTAGCAGACGACTTGCACAAGTGACGCCATATTAGAAATGCTAATAATAATAATAATAATAATAATCACTGAGTCTTATTAAATGTTGTATATTACGTTAATATACACATTTTCATTAATCCATCCATGATATTTTTTTCAAAATTATATAATAAACACGATACATAACATAAAAAGATGATAAATACACCCTACAATAGAATAAATAAACATAAATATGAGATGTGGTAGCCAGATAACTTGTACAAGTGATGCCAAGAATAACATTTTCTCTAATTCTAACATAAGAGAAAATGTGTTTACTGGGGGTAACTGTAGAAAATTATTCCTTTCGTATGTATGTAAGTTAGTTTATTCAGGTATACACAAATACAGTTACATAGATTATCAATACATAACAACATATGTGTAGAGAACCTAGGATAACCCAAAAAAGTCAGAGTGACTTATTTCCATTGCCTTCACTCAGAGCATCATTTCTTCTCAAAATGATGTTACATGAGAATGGGAGTGTTCTTCTTTATTTATTCTACCGTATCAATGTAGAGACAACCTGTACACAATGTAACTTGTACACAAACCAGACGTGTACACTTCGTTTACAAAACTTACCTTCGCCTGGTTTGTTTACATAACTCTGCGCCTGTCCTCTCTCATGCACTCATTCTTTCTCTCTCTCATTTATTCGTTTTATCTCATTTACTTACTCCTGACCCTACATTAAGACTACAAATATTTTAAGGTAAGTAATGAGTGAACTGTATATACATTTTATCGCTCTGGGATGCTTAAATATCATGGAATATATGTGTGGGTGGGTTGGCCTGGTATGGTAGCCCAGCTGACTACCATACATACCACACTTGATTTTTTACAATAAATACTACTCATCTCACCCTATATTTTAAGGTAAGTAATGAGTGAACTGTATATACATTTTATTGCTCTGGGATGCTTAAATATCATAGAATTGTATGTGTGGGTGGGGTGGCTGGTATGGTAGCCTGGCTGACTACCATACATACCACACTGATTTCTTACAATAAATACTACTTGTCTCACCCTAGATTAAGACTATAAATATTTTAAGGTAAGTAATGAGTGCACTATGTGTGTATTGTACTTTTTATTGTTTTTTTGATGCCTGGTTTATTGCTAACTTAATATATGTTAGTGTAAACTTGTTATCTAGTGTTTGTATGCATTTGTAAGTGGAAAAAAAGGGTGTTCCACTTTACGGCGGTTTCCGCTTTACGGCGGTAGCCTGGAACCTAACCAGCCGTATAAGTGGGGCCTTCCTGTATATGAACTAAGGTAATCAAATAAATGAGCTTGGGAATATAATGGCAAAATGGTGAACTTATTACATTTTATCACCTGAGAATAGCACCTTGATTATTTTAACAATTGTGAATATATGAAACTAATGTTGTTATATAAAGCTAAAATAAAGGAGAAAATATGTAAGGGACTAAATTAAATAATGGTAAACAAAGTTAAATTGACAGATAGTCACTATGATATAATATTGATTTGGGAGTAAGATCTGATTTGTTATATATATAAGTTGAGCAATTTATTGTACTATAAAAAGTAAAAATAATGAGGTAGTTGGTAGTAGCTAACAAAATATAATTTTGAGCCTTGAACAATAATGTAATTGAAATATACACTAATTGCACACACAATATAGTCACTAAGATATGAAAATAATCTGAGAGTAGGATTTGCCTTATAGCATCAAGTTTGAGCAATTAATATCACTATAGGAATTATTTAGTAGTTGATACTACTATGAGGATGGTTCAAGGTATGCACAGTAGTGTATGGGAACATACACTAGTTTGTTTTTTTTGTATTTTTTAGGAGAAAAGGGAAAATTAGGTTGATTTAAAGAATTTAACAGGGGCTTAATGGGAAAAAAAAAGGTAATACAGATATTATTTAAGAGTAATATCCTTTTAACAAATAAAATTTGTAAATTGGGAAAGGAAGGTAAACAAATTTGGGTCCACAAAGAACTGTGGGGGGACATCTGGGATAATGGGGTAGTAAAATGCGCTAGGTGGTATAAACGGGGATTATTTTAAATATTTTTTTACTATTATTAACACACTGGCCGATTCCCAAACAAGGCAGGGGGCCCCAAAAAAAGAAAACTTCACCATCATTCACTCCATCACTGTCTTGCCAGAAGGGTGCTATACACTGCGTTTTTAAATGCAACTTAACACCCCCCCTTCAAGTGCAGGCCTGTACTTCCCATCTCCGGGCTCAAATCCGGCCTGCCGGGTTTTCCCGAAACCCTTCTAAAGTTAATTTTTCTCACACTCCAAAAGCACTCAAGTAAAAAAACCATTTGTCTCCATTCACTTCATCAAACCCCTCACGCTGCCCGCTGGAAGTCCAAGCCCCTCCACATAAAACCCTAAAATTTTCCCCCTCCCTCCCAAACCTTTCCAGGCCACCCCCACCCCGCCCCCTTTCCCCACAACTGATACATCTTGAAGTCATTTTGTTTCGTCCATTCTTCTACATGTCCAACCACCTCAACAACCCCTTTCCCCAGCCCTCTGGAAAAACAGTTTTGTAATCCCCACTCCTCCC